TCTCTCTCTCTCTCTCTCTCTCTCTCTCTCTCTCTCTCTCTCTCTCTCTCTCTCTCTCTCTCTCTCTCTCTCTCTCTCTCTCTCTCTGTGTGGTTGTCAATTTAAGTGGATACAGGTAGAGTGATGGATGACCATGACTCCAACTGCTCTGAACCAGTAAGAGTAAAATATGCAACCAGAGTATGCATGTTTTCATGGTTTTTTGTTTTTTTTCCCCATTGGAACCACCAGTCCGTTCGAGCGTCTATTTTCCAACCCGGATGTCTGCTGCGCAGGAGGTGAGAAATGAATCGACGCGGACACGATATTGCTCCGGTGTGCTGCTATCCTTTTCTGTGCAGTAGGCCCAAACGCCCAACTATGCGGCGAGTTTAACCGCCGCATCAGAACGAAATAGCAGGGAAACGTACTGGTGGTTGACGAAGTGATGAAGGATCCTGGTGTATGCAATGCTTACGTTCTCTCTTTGTCCCCCTCTGATCTCTTCTGTGCTGTGCCCTTACGAGCCTCTAGCCGAGTCAAGGAAGGATCACTTCTCCTGTCCAGTCACTGCCATTCCAACGTTCATTCCCTGCTTCTTGATCCCCGTCATCCATCTGTAATAGCTGCCGTCCTGCATTCGGGGCCTGTTCTGCATCCCTCGCGCTCTGTGTTTCTTTTTCAGCATAACCTTTCTTCTCCAATGTGTACTCTTCTCGTGTCTGTTGTTTCTGTTACGATCCTGGCCAATTTCGAAGTATACATTCATCTGAAAGTACAATGCCATCCAATTGCAAAAAGAAATGAATGAACTTGAGAGGAAAGAGAGGGAAAGAAGAAGAAGAAGAAGTGAGAAAGAAGAAGATGATGATGTACTCCAGCATAGACCAATGTCAAGGCTCTTCTTCTTCGCCAACCAATCCCTTCCTCCTAATCTCCCCCCTCTTATTCAAACAATAAATAACAATAATAATGTTGAATGACTGAACCAGAATCAATGTCCGAATCCCACTTCTACTGCAGGCACAACATGAGGTCCACCATAGCCATGGTCACCCTTCTCCTTCCTCTACATACAGGCCGAGGCTATGGTGGACTGCTGAGGCTTCAGCCTCCTGTCCAAAGGACAACACAAAGCAGCTATGCCGCTGCCCTACTTCAAGGTCGTCACCATGCAGCTATGCCGCTGCTCACTCAGCCACCATGACTGACTCTGTCCCGAGCTTCCTTGATGCGGCACTACCCCCACTGGGGTCTTCCTGATGCAGCGCCTAGCAAGGAGATGAAGATGGTGTCTACCATAGGCAGGTAAGTACCCTACCACTCTCCTCCTTGGTCCCCTTCTCCCTCCTCCTCCTACCGGCTGAGCTCCACCATAGCCAAGGTGGAAGCTCCCGGCTTCTTCTTCCCAGCAGCGCTGTATCAGCCAGCGCTCCTCCACCTAACGCTCCAGCAGCGTGACGCCCAACTCGCACACTGAAGAATGAGGCCGGCCTCTCCGCCCTGCCTCTTGATATAGCGGCCTACTTGCCTCCTGGGCGGTGACTTCCAGGCCGCTCGGCCTCTCCAAGCAACCGGTACTTCCTCCGTTTCGGAGGGAAACATCATTGCAGACCCTGATATTACCCGTACAGGCTCTAGACTCAGACTGGTTGGACTGGTACCGGCCTAGACCTACCCTACCGCTACTGGACTCTAAAAATGCCAACTTTGTTTTTCTGCTCGGCCTCCAGTACCCCCCTCACACCAACTGTAGTGGGGTGCAGTTCGGCCTACCGGCCCACTTGAGTGTTTTTCCGCTACTCCAAGGGCCGCGGGGCCGCTAGCTTCGCCACTTCAGTGTTTTTTCCTGCTACAACCCTCAATGCCACGGCCACAGGTAAGTACCGGCCCTACGGGCCTGCCAAACAAGCAAGTACCCTTGTGGGTCACACACACACTCATACCGACAAGCACTCAGTCAGGCACGCAGGTCACAAGGACGCACACACAGACAGACTTAGAAAACACAGCAGAATGCGGGAATCTCAGCAAGGCATCCATTCCATCGGCAGAACTTCAGAAATCAGCAGTGTTCTCAGTCTGTGTTTTGACGGGTCATTACATTTCTGAAGACGGATATTCGCACCTGCGTTCGGGGCCTGTTCTGCATCCCTCGCGGTTTGTGTTTCTTTTTCATCATAACCTTTCGTCTCCCATGTGTACTCTTCTCGTGTCTGTTGTTCCTGAAGAAGGATATTCGCAGTGTGATGCAATAAGGACTTTATGAAATTCTCTCCATCGATAACTCACACACACACACACAAAAAAAAAAAAAAGTAGTCCATTTTTTGTTTTTTTTTCTGAATTCTGTGGTGAGCTATGTTGAGCATTTTGGTTCTTCGAGGTTCAATTAAATTAAAGTTTTGTCTAATCTCTAAGGAGGAGCTAGGGGGAAAAAAAATAAAAAAAATCTACATTGGAATACAACCATATGTTATGAATACTTATTATGTTTTCATGACTGTTAATTTGCTGGATGGTGATTGAACGACAACACGCCTGTGACTGTCTGTGAAGAACAGATACGTAAACTGTGGTTAAATGAGAGATGGGGGGGGGGGGGGGGGGGGGGGGGGGTTTTTTGTGGTGCCTAGTGGTGGGGGGCGGGCAGCAGGGGTTGGGAACAAAATTCTGAATCTTCTGGGGGGGGGGAGGATGGGGTGTTAACAGGGTTAACAGACCCGCTTCATCTTTTTTTGCGTTTTCTTAGTAGCTTAGTGCTAGTTTGGGGGTTCCCTTAAAAAAAAAAAAGGTTGGGGGGTCTATAAAACTGAAAAGAGAAACTTTTTGGGGGTCCCTTTTACCCACTCGTTGCGGGTGAAACAGGTCTGAGCAGGCTTTTGGATGAAGATAACGAATTGAATAAATTTATTAAATTACTAACATATATAAGCGGGCCGTCACGCCTTATCTTAACTGTGATCAATCAATGCCAATCAGTTTGTTTCCACATGTTTGGGCTTGTGAATTAGTTTGTTTCGTCATGTTTGAGCTTGTGAATCAGTTTGTTTCGTCATGTTTGAGCTTGCGAATCAGTTTGTTTCCGCATGTTTGAGCTTGTGAAGCAGTTTGTTTCCACATGTTTGAGCTTGTGAAGCAGTTTGTTTCCACATGTTTGAGCTTGTGAATCAGTTTGAAACTGGCCCGTCTTCCACCCCCCCCACTAATGTGCACGCTACATGGCGGCATCTGTTGTCTGCAGAATCCATGAGTTCTTGAAGCGTGAAAATGAAACAGGGAACATTACTCGCCAAGAGGCGGTTAGCATGGTATGTACGAGAACCATGCTGTATGTATGATTTCAATTGTCGAACGATCGCACATGATTGATATGATGTACAGTTACGGCACAGTGGATAAAAGAGGATTCTCGTTATATTACCCACACTGTGCGTCGGGCCATGGGATCATCTTATGGCACCACTATGGTACAGCGGATAAGATGGTGAGTGTCAAATTACTAAAAAAAAAAAAAAAAAAAAAGGTCAATACAATGCAATTAATGCCAATTATTTTTGCAATACAAATAAACAAGGTGCTGATCGACTTTGCGTATCAGTGGCTCACACCTCGTCGCCACTGTGTAACACTCGACAGCCCCAGCTCTTGTGTCCCCACTGCTCAAGCCGAGAGGAGCAGTCTGCTCCTGCTCCTCACTTTTATCCTACTTGGCGCATGGAAAACAACTATCGACTAGTCCACCTGTGCACACGGTAGCAGCACTCGTTCCGTTATATGGTGCAGAGGGTAAGGTGATGAGAGAGTCATCGTATCCACACTCATCATCTTAACTTGTCCACACATCATCGTTCCTTATCCACTCATCTTTCTTATCTTATCCACTCATCATATTATCTTATCCACTTATCATCTCATCAACATGCGTCCCTCTCTTTGTTCTTGTTGCCTCCACCCCCCGTCCCCTCACTGTCTTTATTCAGCTTTGCTGCTGTATGTAGTCTTCTTTGTTTCAAGTTTGTTGTCATCTTGTCTTGTCCGGCATTCCCCTTCCCCCCGCCTCCCCCCCGCCCTGATGTTGATACGAAGGGTTCTCAATTTTTGAATCTCCTGGGTTTTGAGCATGCATGCTTATAATATATATTGTAAAAAAATAAAAAAACTACTAAAAACTACAAAAAAAAAAAGTAAAATATTTGTATTTGATTAATCATTACCATTGTTTTATAAAGTTTCTGGAACTTGGTCGTCGAATCATGAATGTAGTCTCTTATTATGGTGTTGGATCGTGAGTCCTTATGGTTTTGTAACTTTTGTCTCTTGTTTTCGAACTCGCAACGATGTTGCCTTGACTGGTGCCCCTCTTATGATTTTCACAAATGGATTGCTTTATTTTTCTCGGCGTGGGAGTCTACCGAACAGTTTGGGAATGAATTTTAATAGTTTGTTCACAACTTTACAATGTCCACATGCGTTCTTTGTTTTTGATTGGCAGGTTCCTCCGCTGTTTCTTGACGTGCATCCTCACCATTACGTTCTTGACAGTGAGTCGAGTGGTCCCACCCATCCTTATGTGTTCATTCGTCTTTGAGGGCCATACATAGCAGGGACTTAAAAACCCTAAGGGTATATAGTATATACCCCCCCCCCAAGGAATAACTTACTATACCCTTAGGAGGGGGGCGGGGGGGGGGTGATGAATGTTACTTCTTGTTGGGGGACTTAAAATCCACCAGTTCACACCGATGGGAGTAGTGCTCTCATGGGTATACGAGGTAAGAGCATGTCAGTTCGGGCCTGGGTCGGTAGCGAAAGCGGCAGGCCACTTGCAAAAGACGCAGTTGCAGCCTTGCAAGCCTTGGAAGGCGGCTTCGTCAACTTAGGAGGTTCATCTTGTGTGAACTGGTGGTTTAAGAAGTTCTGCAGCTAAATAAATAACAAAATTAAATAACTATACCTCAAGGAAATTGAATCTCTAACTGTACTTGAGCGGCCCATCCATGCAAAGGTTCAAACTTCGAATCCGTTTATGAAAGCAATGAATATTTGGAATAATAAGTTTTAAAAGCTATATGATCTCCCCCCTTCCTTGGATGTACAAACATGCTTGCCGGTGATAAGCAACCGGACTGTTACCCCCCGGAATAGAAGGGGCCTTGTGCTGTTAAAAAAAGAAAAAAAAAAGAGAGGAAGAAGAAAAGAAAAAGATGCTAGTGAACTTACATGAAGTGAAAAAAGGAAATTAAAAACTTTTACAAAGTCTCAAAGTTCCAAAATCGAAAATTCAAACTATATTTTTTCAGTACTAGTATTCACATCTTTTCCGCAAATTTATTGACAAATTCGAAATATTAGCAAATTGATTATGGGTTGGAGATTTTGAATGTTCAAATTTTCGCAATTGTTCAGCAAATTGATATTTCAAATTGAAATTGTTCACATCGACAATTTTCAATGAAGTTTCGACAAACTGATCAAACAAAGTGAGTTTTCACCAGATTGATTGCTTGTTGTTTGGCAAAAGGACAAAAAAAAAAAGATTGATTGATTGATTGATTGATTGATTGTGATTGGCAAATTGACGACGCTGTTGGGCAATCAGCAGCAGACTGAGCAGACAACATACTTTGCTCTCTTTGGAACTCTTATGCAGACTTTTCCTAACACCAAACAGCAAGTGAACTATATATGCTTTTTTTTTTTCTGAAAGTCGAAAGTTTGAAATTGCGAACGGTAATTACTAATTACGCCGAAGTTGAGCATGCAGAAGAAGAACCGATGCCCTGGCGGACAACTCACCATTCATTCCGCCCATTCATTCATCATTCGTTCATCCTCCTCCGTTCATCATTCATTCATTATTGATTCATTCATTGATTCATTCATTGATTCATCATTGAACGATAATTGCAGCTCTGCTGGGCAAACCAAAAACGGGCAAAAATGACAAAGAATCAATCACTGTTGTGGAAAACCACATGCATGCATGCACTTGTGCTGAGTCTTCTGGGCATGGACATTGTAATCACTGATAGTAATCGGAATACCGATCCAAATTTGAATTTTTCCGACACTTCGTTTGTGACCATGACAATAGAACAATACTTGGCTCTTGAGGCCGAGGTCGCCGGTTCGAGTCCGTGCTTGCACGGAGGAGGGCTGAGGCCCAGAGGTACAGAATCTACAGATCCATAGACACAGATAGTAGAACAATCAAGAGGAGTGAACACCCAGCCTATGTGTCTGCATGGCACACAAATCGAACTGTTAACAAACAGATCATGAGTTCGAATCCTGATGGAATCAGATGCTGGGACAATAATGTTAGGGCCTACAGTAGTTACCCCGTTTATAAGAGAGGAAAAGAATAACAATCACTAGAAAGTTACTAGAAACTACTAGAAAGAAAAAAGAGGGGAACTGCTGCACGCAGCCCATGTGGCTGAATGGCGCAGGTATGTAAACAGATGCTAGTAAACAGAACAGGAGTTCGATTGCTGAGTTAAAAACCACCAGTACATCGGACCCTCTTTTTGCCGAGGCGGATTCCCCCCTGCGCGCCAAGCTTTGCCGAAACACCAGCGCGACATTTTTTTTCTTTTTCTTTTTCTTTTTTTTGTTGGTCCGGTACTACCGGTAGCACTGTTCACCCGAACTTTTCGGAATGAACCGTATTTGATTCTAAACTTCTAAAGTTGTTTTCTGGGCGGTGTACGTTCAGTTTAACAATCAGATAACACCATAAAATTAGGGGCTACCCCATCAAGAAAAAGGGGAACTGCTGCAAGGCAGGCGAACGAAGGAAGAGGGGAAGAAATATGACGAGAGAAGTAGAGTAACGACTGGACATAACAAAAAAAAAAAGAAAAAAAAAAAAAAAGGAGGAGGCTAGCGAATGGACAACCCATATGCAAGAACTTGCCGATGTGGTGGATAACCGGACGGGTGTTCGCTATTTGCATGTGGGTTTACGGTGGGTTGCAAGGGTGGAAAATTGTATATAAGCCTTCTTATAATATATATATGTGAACTGGCCTGTCAGATCCATTTACCCTTTCGAACGAAAGAGACATGGGACACAGCGAACGATGACAAACAGGGAGTAATGGCACACTGCTAAGTTCTAACCACATAGTAACCCAGGGTGGTTACCAGGTGCCAGTCACTAGAAAGTTACCAGTGTGGTTACCGGGTGGTTAGTGACCAAGTTAACGCTCCCAGTGGTTACTGGGTGTAATCACCAACCAACCCAGTAACAATATCAATAACAATAATATCAAGGCTTGTCCACACACCGGGTTGGTGATTACACCCAGAGTAACCACCTTGGTAACCACGCCTTTCCAGAGTGTGGTTACCCAGGGGGGGGGGGGGGGGGGGGATTAATTGATGTCACTGACTGTGACACACTGAAAAGTTAAGCTCACTGACGACAACCATCACAGTGACTTACGCTTTGAAAGGTTAACTCAAGCTAAGACGGTTGCCCATATCTGTTTTTGCTCTGAATGTTTGTTGCGACTGTTTTGCCGATGTGACATGGGTGTGATTAATTGATGTCACTCGCTGTGACGCTGTGAAAAGTTAAGCTCACTGACGACAACCATTACAGAGACTTACGCTTTGAAAGGTTAACTCAAGCTGAGACGGTTGCGCATATCTGTTTTTGCTCCTGAATGTTTGGTGTGACTGTTTTGCCAATGTGACGTGGGGCAACAAAAAATAGTGTGCGCGGCCCCCGGTTCAAAGACCTTCCAACTTCTCGAGATGCTTCATCAGGGCGATCCAACCAAAGTTCCCAGTGGCTTGGTATGTATGAGCAGTTCACAGTTGTTCTCAGTTGTTCTCAGTTATTCTCAGTTATTCTCAGTTTTGCCCTCAGTTGTCCTCAGTTGTCTTCAGTTGTCCTCAGTTGTCCTCAGACTGTCCTCCGTTGTTCTCAGTTTTGCCCTTAGTTGTCCTCCGTCCATGTTCTCAGTTGTCCTCGGTCTCTGTCCTCAGTCGTCCTCAATCCCTGTTCTCAGTTGTCTTCGGTTGTCCTCACTGGTCTCAATTGTCCTCAGTCTCTGTCTTCACTTGTGCTCTATCTGTCTCAGTTGTCCTCAGTCTCTTGTGCTGTCCCCAGTAGTCCTCAGTCTCTGTGCTGTCCTCAGTCTCTGAGCTGTCAGTCTCTGAGCTGTCCTCCGTCTCTGTCCCCAGTTCTCCTCAGTCTCTGTCCTCAGTTGTCCTCAGTCTCTGTCCTCAGTTGTCCTCGGTCTCTATCCTCAGTTGTCCTCAGTCTCTGTCCTCAGTTGTCCTCAGTTGTCCTCAGTCTCTCTGCGGTCCTTAGTCTCTGTACTCAGTTGTCCTCAGTCTCTGTGCTGTACTCAGTTGTCCTCAGTCTCTGTGCTGTCTCTGTGCTGTCCTCAGTTGTCCTCAGTCT